GAGAGAGAGAGAGAGAGAGAGAGAGAGAGAGAGAGAGAGAGAGAGAGAGAGAGAGAGAGAGAGAGAGAGAGAGAGAGAGAGTACGTCGCTGCGCACCGCTTGACATCCGTCTATATCGATCGAAATCGATCGCGATCCAATCGATCCAATCGACCAGGGCATTGATCGCTAGTCGACGTGATGTCTCATTAAGCTAATTAACCAATCAACCAATTAACCAATCAACAAGGCAATCAATTGGGCAGCGAGCCAGCCACGGAAGTAATCGATCGGATCATAGTTTCAAATCGTTACAAACGGCGCACCTGGTCGATTGAACGCAACACCTTTTTAGTTTGTTATTTTGTGCACCGAAGAAGATTCGGGATGCTTCTAGTATACAATCCGCTCAGATCGACGGTCAATCGAATTCTAGACTTACTAGAATTCTAGTTACAAATCGATGACTTACTAGAATTCCAGTTACAAACGGCGCTCCTGGCACGTATTATACGTGTGACTGAGATTCGATTGATGGATTACATAGATTGTATCTCCGTGCTCCCGGCTCTCAGTTCGTCATCGATCTCGTCTGGAATCTGGATCCCGGCCGATCGTAACGTAGGATGATGTCTTCATCACATGCTCTCGGTATCTCGACCGTTTGATTGCCAGCGGGTGGCTGGGTAGCGATCCCGGCCGTACGGCACCTCCTTTTTTTTTTTCCCCTTTAATTTATATTTGTCATTTATCTAGTAACTCCATTCGATTGCAATTATGGATATCCGAATGAACGAATTTCCCGCCGTCACAATAGGAAAAGGGATAAGTGGGGGGGGAAGTGGATGGGGAGGTGGAGGTGGTTCTCCATCGTTTTTCTTGTCGGGTGGTTCTTCATCTACGACAGAATGGATCTGCTGGAGATCTCCGAATCTGTCTCCACCTTTTGCCAACAATCTCTCTCCTCCTTCTCCCAATTTTTCTCCTCCCTCTGTCTCTTATGCATCCCCTTCGTCTACCACTGCCAGCTCAGCACCTGGTCATCTTCCAGCGTATCATCCACCTCCTTCCTCTTCTCCCGCGATCTCAGCACCTCTTCCAGCGTATCATCCACCTCCTCCTCCTCCTCCTCCTCCTCCTCCCTCTTCTTCTTCTTCTTCTTCTTTGGCTGTGAACGCCATTAATCACCCACAACAGCCGGCGCAATTTAAGGACAACCACCACGCACATTCCTCCCCTCCTCTTCCTTCCCCTCCTGTTCTTCCTCTTCCTCATCCTCCCTCTCCTTCTCCCTCTCCTTCTCCCTCTCCTTCTCCTAGGATCTCAGTCCCCAACATCAGTGTTGTTTCATGCCCTGATGTAATCATCGAGAGCATCGCCGATTGCGTAGCCGATTCTGCACCGCTCGATTGGTGGGGCCATCAACAAGGAATCATTGCATCAGCAACAGCGGGAGGAGAAGGAAGGAGAGCAGGAAAGAGAGGAGGAGGAGGAGGAGGAGAAGGAGGAGTAGGAGGAGGTGGTGGTGGTGGTCCTAGTGTTGGGATCCGGTTCCGACGGTATTTAAGAGGGGTTCTTCTTGGAAAAGGGGGCTTCGCTTGGTGCTATGAGGTGACAGAGGTGAGCTCCGGAATGAGTTTTGCGGCGAAGGTTATCTCAAAGAGCTCTCTTAATACGGCGCGCAAACGACAAATGGTCGAGTCCGAGATCCGCATCCAACGATCACTACATCATCCTCATATCGTTGAGCTCGTTCATCATTTCGAAGACGATGAAAATGTGTACATATTGATGGAATTATGTGACAACCAGACGCTTTCAGACCTCGTTGTGAAGAAGTCTCGCCGACTCAACGAGACAGAGATTGCCAAGTATATATTGCAGGTATGATGGTGATTTTTTTTTTTTCTCCCATAACTAAAATAAATATATTTTTCTATCGAATTTTTAAATTTTTTACTCCCTATCTACCACTAGTCCTAAGTCCGTACAGGGTGGTTTGTGATTTCTGAAAAAAATAAATACAGTATGTCCAAAAACAAGTAAAAAAAAATAAATCACAGTGAGTTTCTACCACTTTTACTCCCTATCTACTTCCTATTTTTATTTACTTGAATGTTGTTATGACATTGATTGGGAAGCTGTGTATTACAATGAGTAATATATGGAATATCTGAATATCTGAATCCTCTTCCCCCCCCACCCCGACCCCCAAAAATAAATAAATAAATAAATAAATAAATAAATAAATAAATAAAATAAAATAAAAAATCTGAATCTATCGATCGAACACTAAATCGTAAAGTTAATTGACTACCGTTTTCACCCGAATTGAACGCCGGGCCAAACTCATTCAATCTAATAGAAAATCACAGTATGAATTTAGTATGTTTATATTCGTAAATACAGATTCTAGATGGATTGTACATTTTGTTTCATTTCAAACGAAGAAATTCATTCAGTTATCATTCATTGATTATAGAAATTATACATAGAAAATCAAACAGTAGATGTATCTATACTGAAAATTGGCCCACATACAGCTATGATGACCTGCCGTTCTATATTCGGGTGAAAACAGTAGCTTCAAGTATGGCCATTGATTTCAGATTTGCATTCGTTATCACTAAACAGTCTGGATTTTATTATTATTATTTTCTTAACAGTTCTAAGTTGTAAAACAATGCGGCACCGTGCTAATATTATCTGGAATATCGGGATTTTTTTTTTTTTTTTTAAGTTTGTTACAATTCATTCAAAGTCTGTTTTATTTTTTTTTATTTTTTTTACAATTATAACTTATAAGTGTTAACAATGCGGCACCTTGCGAATGTATTAGTATTGTTATTTTTGTTAACAAGCAATAATATATATTTTTTATTTTTCTTTTTATATTCTTATGGAGGTCTCTGTGAATGAGCGATCCTTAATTGGTGAGGGTTAGGGGTTTCAGAGGGAAGATTCGTAAACTGGGGTATGTATGAATAGGGTCGGAGCCTCAGAGGAGGATCGGTAAAGCCTATAATTGAGTTCTCGAGATGTCATCGAATAGCGCGGGATTCGACGACAGCGGGGTAAAAAGGGGTTAAAAAAAAAAATAAAAAAAAAAATGATGGCGGTGTTCGACAGAATGGTAACGGTACAAGTGCTGATTCATATGACAAAAGATACGGAAGGAAAATGAAAAAAAAAACTACTATCATATTATGAGCATTTCGGTTTTTTTTTTTTTTTTTCAGAATTTTGTATGTCAATTGCCTTTCGAATAAAAACTTTGGCACGCTTTTGAAGCTTTTTTTTTTTAAATAAAGAGAAAGTTGGCATGTTTGCTTTGTCCTACATTTTTAATTAAATTTGAAGTTGGGCACAGGGCCTGTGAATAGTATACGTATATTATATTTAAATATTAAGGGGTAACTAGGCGGGGGTCACAAAAACAGTTTGAAAATGCATTCGGAACACTGAGGGTTTCTGCAGACCAGTCAGGGCCGCGCGCGCGTGTGTGTGTGTGTGCGTGTGTGTGTGTGTGTGTGTGTGTGTGTGTGTGTGTGAGAGAGAGAGAGAGAGAGAGAGAGAGAGAGAGAGAGAGAGAGAGGGGCAGCACAGAGAGAGAGAGAGAGAGAGAGAGAGAGAGAGAGAGAGAGAGAGAGAGAGAGAGAGAGAGAGAGAGAGAGAGAGAGTGGGAGAGAGAGGGGGAGAGAGGAGAGAGTGAGAGAGAGAGAGAGAGAGAGAGAGAGAGAGAGAGAGAGAGAGAGAGAGAGAGAGAGAGAGAGAGAGTTTGGAAGACTGAAGTGCAGTTTGGAAACTCGGCCGCGCGCGGGCCTGACTGGACTGCAGAAACCCTCAGTGTTCCGAATGCATTTTTTTAACTGTTTTTGTGACCCCCGCGTAGTTACCCCTTGTATGAAACTTAATTAAAGGTAAAGAAAGACTGTGGGCGGGGTGGGGCGCACGTTTTGTCATTAGAAAGCAGGGGGAAATTAAAAAAAAAAATGTTTTTTTATTGTTGATCGGGAGGAAGCATGCAGCGATCGGGATTGGTCGATGATCGGAAGTCGGGATCGCTTGTTGATTGGGGTCGCAATCGGGATTGTTCGAAGGACATTCCAGCAAAGAACGAAAACCTTGTTTCATTGCAGGTCGGGATATGCATACAGCGATCGGGATTGTTCGAGGCGATCGGATCGTCTGAAGGCCGGAAGTCGTAGTAAAGGCTGGGAGTCGTAGTAGGTCTGGTCTCGATCGGGATGCGAAAGACATTCGGGAAGAAGCGAAAACATTGGTGTTGTCCTTCGGCCCTCGGGACATCTGTTAAAATTGGAACGATACAGTGAAAAAAAAGAGAAGATTAGCATGGCCACCTGCGCAAGGATTAAAAAAAAAAAAAAAAAAACCATTGCTGTTGACGACAGATCGGGAAAAGCATGCTCGTTCGGAGCGATCGGGATCGCTCGAAGATCGGAAGTCGCAGCAGAGTCTGACCTGGTCCCGATCGGAGGCGAAAGACATTCCTTTTGCCTATCCCGATCGCTTCGGTGAACCCTCCCCTCTCGCTCGCACTTTTTCTGATCCTCATCCCGCTACTTCCTATCCATCCTGATTCTCATCCCCCTACTTCCGTCTTCCCCCGAGCACAACACACCCTCATAATGATTGCATGAGACCGTGAAGATGACCTGTATACACTCATTATCAGAGTGCATAGTGTTCGGGGGAAGACGGTAGCTCCTCTCCGTTTGTTTTTCCCTGCCTTTTGTTTTCTCTTCCCCCTTCTTCTTCCCCCCGTCCCTCCCCCTTCTTTCCCCCGTTCCCCTGGGGCCCGCGTCCCCCTGTTTTCCTCTCCGCCTCCGCGTTTTTCGTTTCTCACTTCGGTGGGTGCTCTGGGTGCGGATGCAAGACGCAAGGCGCAGAAAAAAGAAAAAAAAAAAAACGTTTTCTGTTTTTTTTCTTTTCTTTTCTTTTTTTGAGATGCTGCAGTTAATCTTTGCGACCCCTGTTTTCGGTTTTCACCCCTTATTCACTAGTCAGCTTTTGCTATCTCCTCTTCCTTGCTGTTCGATGCATACCCGCTTTAAATATATGCAGCTGCTCCAGGCGATGGGCTACATGCACGGCGCGGGCGTAGTCCACCGGGATCTGAAGTTGAGCAATCTCTTTCTAACAAGCAAGTGGGATGTTAAAGTCGGCGACTTTGGTGAGTTCCTTTCTTTTTTTTTTTCTTTTTTTTTTCCTTTTTT